GTTTCCCAGTGAAGGTCCCTGCCCGAGCAGAACCCCTCCCCTGCCCGTCAGGAGGACCCCCAGGACGGGCAGCAGAACCTCGCCCTTGGGGGAACATGGCGGAATCACCCTCACAGGCCCGCGCCACACTCAGGTCTCAGAGAGGAAGGCGTTCGGACAGCTCGCCTGGGCCGGAAGGTCTCAGAGCTACAGGATGGTGGCTGGCCTTATACCCTCAGCCAGGCCATCTCTGGAGACCGAAATCCCATCCTTCCTCCCAATGACCTATTTTTCGGGTTTTATACCAACGTAGGTTGGAGAGACGACTGTTACCTGGGCCCAGAGAGAGGCTCAGAGGCCGGTCAGCAGCAGGTGGGCAGAGACGCGGGCTGCCCCGGCAGAGCGTGCCCAAGGGAAACCGGCTCAGTCCGCCCGGGCCTGTGGAGGGAGGCGGGCCGGAGGCCGTCCTTCCGGTGGGCTTGGCGGGGAGTCAGGTCTTCTATGGGATCCTAGTAAGTTTCTCTCTCAGGTGATGCTTGGAGTTTCCCTCTTTACAGTTGTGTGCTGTGTGTGTGTGTGTGTGTGGACAGACAGCGGTGGGCACTGCGATTTTATCAGCCGGGGGACAGACACCAGTCCAGGTGTTTGTTGTGGGTGATACCGTGTCGTCCAGCGTGGTATGGGAAAGTCCCAACAGCCAGAACCTCAGAAAGGGACCTTGTTTGGAAATAGGGCCTTGGTAGATATAGTCAAGTGAAGCCGGGATCATGGCAGGGGGGTGATCCCATAGACAGGGTGTCCTTAGGAAGAGGGGGGATCGGGGCACCGTCACCGACAAGTACCAGGGAGGAGGGACCGTGTGAGAGGACTGTCCTCCTGCCCCTACAGGTCTGGAGGGAGCACACCCCGAGCCTCCTCGATTTAGGGTTTGCAGCCTGCAGGGCTGTGAGATTGCACATTCCTGTTGTAACTTATCATTTGCGGTGCTTTGAGGCAGCAGCTCCGAACTAATTCAGCATTTTAACAGCTTGAAGTGACACAGGCTACAAGGTGGATAGGAATCGAAAGGGCTCACGAATGGCATAGGCGGAGCCCTTGGCCATGACTTTCAGAACCCTGCAGAGCTCACGTGCCCAGGGCGTGTTTATGGGTCCGGGGTCACGGACACGACCCTGTTATCAGGCAGCAGCCACAGCCACCGCGTGCCCAGGAGCTAGCTAGTGGCTGGACGCCCCCCTGAGTTTGGCCATCTGCCCCAGCCCCACGCCCCTGGGCCCCCCTGGTGCTGAGAACAGATGCCCACGTGGCCTGCCATGAAGCCCCGTGTCCATGACTTGGTTGGTGCCTGGACAAGAGCTGAAGGGAGGCGCCCCTGCCTCCCAGGGAGCAAACCTCAACGGCGGGACCTGCTTCGCACCCAGACACAGAGCAGTGTCCTGGGAAAGGGCGTGTCCAGCTCCCCCCTCTCTGCAGCACCAGAAAGCACGTCTGGAGCGAAGAGGAAGGAAGGTCGCGTGGGGAATGCCCAGCCTCCGCCACGACTGGAGCTGTCAGATTGCACGCCAGGCGCCCAGTTAAGTTTGAATTTTAAGTTTGGGAGGATGGAGTGCCGTCCGATGTTGGGTGAAGGAGGGTGGTGGGGTCACTGGCCGTCGGATGAATGTGCTCTGGCTCTGTCCCTGGGGGGCGGGGGAGGGGGAGATGGAGGCGTGGGCTCTGTCTCTGCAAAGCTCGTAGGCGTAGATGTCTGAGCCACAGGCCTTGCTCTTGGGGTGGCTTACACCTCAGGGCAGGAGCGCTGAAAAGTTGGGTCAGTGAGCATCCAACGAGCAGGTGGGTCCTGAGCAGGAAGCCTGGGCGAGAGGAAAGGGGCGCGTGGGGGGAGCTGGGCTTTGCGTGACAGGTGAGAGCAAGGAGGGAAAAGGGCTGAGCCGAGTCAGGCATGCAGACCGGATGGTGGGGATCGGCAGCGAGTGTAGCCGCCGACATGCACGAGGCCCTTCTCGCAGCCAGACTCCCTTCGGGGACCGAGCAGCCCCGCCACTCCCATGGGTGCCGTGAAGGAAGCCCATGACTTTCCCACCCTACAGACACAGCCCGGGTTGAGGAAAAGTCATTGCTCAAGGCTGCCCAGCTTACAAGCGGCAATGGTACCAGCACGGCGGGCCTGGCTCAGGGAGGAGAGCCAGCCCCGCACACCCAGGCTGAGATGTGCATCGAGGGCACGGACAAGGCTTGGGAGTCAACCACGGGCAGGCACGGGGCACCCGGAGACGGAAAGACACTGCCTCCGACAGGACGGCAGGACATGGCCACAGCTCCCAGAGGACCTGTGATGCAGAAGTTCCACCTGGAAAACCTTCATCCTGACCATTCAAGACCCTCCAGCTCTGAAGACGGCGGGAGCTTTTAGCTACAAAGATTCCACTACGATGTGACTCCCGATTACAGACTTCGGAAACCAGGAAAATGGCCAACCGTGTCATTAGCTCAATAGCTGAGTGTTCAGCTGGACCTTTAAGTCATGTTGTGGAATCTAGGAAAATATCGATGGGAATGGAAATATGCCAATGGCCTGTTAGTGAGTAAAAAATGAAGATTACAAGATAGTGAATACTATGTGGTCGTGTGTGTGTGTGTCAGTGAGGTGTGTGTGTGAGTGGTATGTCAGTGGGGTGTGTGAGTGGGTTGTGTGTGGGGGAGGTGGCTGTGGGTGTGTCAGTGGAGTGTGTGTGTGAGTGGGGTGTGTGTGTGGCTGTGGGGTATGTGGGTGGCAGTGGGGTGTGTGTGCGCTACCACTTCCTGGGACAAGTCACAGAACCCAGTGGATACCCCTCTCTTGTCAGATGGTTAGAAAACCCGGTTAAAGGGAAACAATGACAGTTAAGGAAGCTGGGAATCACTTTTTGAACCACCTATGTAATTTGGGGAGTTTCTGCACAACCCAATTATTTACTAAAGGTAAAAAAGCAAACGAAAAAGACCCACCACTAAACAACAACAGGAAAAAGCCAGCCTGGCCGAGTGATTCAAATAGACCAGAACCTCGGCTTCGGGGTCATTGCCAGTGTCCTTCGCTTTGGCGGCTGACTGTGGCCCGGCAGGCTCCGGGCGAGGAGGGAGTCAAACAGGGTCCTTTGTCCGCACCCTGCACTTCCAGACCCATCCACGTGTTTCCAAGTATTTTCTTCAAGTCTGGGAAAGGTCACCTGGGGAAGGTCACAGGCTTGCAGAAAAATGTCAGATGCTTTGGGCCAAAGCTCAGCTCTAGTTGGAAGTCTGTTTCCCAGTCCAACAGCCGGTCAGCCTTTGCCCACCGCCTCCTTGGTTCTGTGCCAGGGGCTGGAGAGGCAGGGCCAACGCCCAGGGGTGGGAGCAGGAGGGGGAGGGGAGATCCACAGGAGCGGCTGGTAAGACCACCTCCCCTCCCTTGGCCATACCAGCAGCCTGGGAGAGGGCCCCTTTAGCACCCGCCTCCTGTAGGAGGAAACTGGCTCCCCGAGAACCTGAGAGGGACTCGGATCCAGCCCGCACTTCACCCGATTCGCTGGTCAACAATCAATCAGAAAACAGGCCTGAGCTCTCGGAGGCGCCCGATGAGGGCTGGGGAGCCGAGTCCCATTGCAGCTGGGCTTGAGAATGGGGACGACCCAAGAGGACGAGAGGGGGCAACTCTGATGGCCCAGGCGCCATAGGAGGGGCCGAGCACACAGGCCCTGGCCCTGGGTCTGGGGCGGGCGGTGCGTCTCACAGCTCCCAGGTGAGACCGGGGACGGAGAAGGCAGGTTCGGGAAGAGCCGGGTGTCGAATGGTTTGGGGACAGGGAAGAGAGGGGCGGACAGCACCAGCATGGTTAGCTCAGCGGTCACTAACCTTTCAGACCTCATCGACCACCTGTGGTCCACTGACCACCTATGGGTGACCGCTGGTTTAGCTTTTTCCTTCGAGTCCAGACCCCTTTAAGGATGGAATGAAAGCAGAGGCCCTCCCCTGGGGAAGGCACAGGTGATTCTACAAGGTCAGAGCCCACTTCCTGAGCACCTGGCTGTGAACGTGAGCGCGGAGAGCGCTGGGCCCTCTCAGGAGAGGTACAATATGAGCAGGCGTGATGCTTACAGAGGCGGGGGCCCCGTCACCCCCCACCCCCAGCGCGCACAGTAGGCTGCCTGTTTCCTGGGATTGGAAAGAGCCTTCCAGTTCTGGAAGTGGGTTAGGGGACCCCTGCTGTGAGCCCCTGTTCCAGTTAGAAGGGGAGGGGGTGCAAGCTGCCTCCTGGAGGCCGAGGTCAAGGCTCCCACATACTCTCACCCACCTACTCACCCAGCAGCCGCGCCTGAGGCCAGGGCTCTGCCACTGAGGGTGGGCGGGCGTCGCCCCTCCCCACAGCCAGGACCAGCACGAAGATCCTGCCAGCCTCAGGCTTGCTCAGGGCAGGGGCAAGCCAACCCCACCCCACTGTCATCACACACCCTTTATTTCTAAGAACAGTTCATCTTCGGACTCTAAATCGAACGACATGCTCCCCCAGATGGGAACACAGCCCAGTTCCCTGAGTACTTGTCTTTGTTGAGCTAACTGCCCGCCAGGCTCCATGGCCAGTGGATTGAAGTGTCCACGGACGGTGCTGAAAGCCCTTGTCCCCCCTTCCTGGGCCCCTGCCACCTTTCCAGCCCGGCCCCGCACTGGGCTCAGGTTCAGGGGACCCTTGGGACTTTCCAGATTGACACCCGTTTCCTGAGGCTCCTCACCTCCGAGATCCCAACTGAAACCCGTCAGCCCTCCTCAGTGCACTCACCTGCCTGCCTGGACACCTGCCTGGAGGGCGGGCGGGCAGACCAGATGGAAGGCGGTCTGACCCACAGGCGTCCTCAGGCGGCTCCCAGGTGGAGGGATGGTTTCCCGAGTCCAGGTGGGACCCAGGCAGGAGCTCACACACACACAGGCTGCCTCTGCCCCGCCCCCGCCCCCGCCCCCGCCCCCGCCCCGGGGATTCCAAGAGGAAGCCAGCGTGTTTGTTTGGGTTTTTTTTGAAAAATATAGAACTTTAATAAAGGCTACATCTCTTTTAATTACAATAATTATTGTACCAAGTAATTCTCCTTAAATGAACTCTTTTATAATGCATAATTTACAGTATAAGTAGAACAAAAATGCCATGGCAAAAAAGTCATTGGAGTACAAGACTTGTAATAAAAAGGCATAAAATATTATTTATACATAAACCCCTTTCAAAAAACAAGGGAAAGCTCGAGCCCTCAATATAGGGCGACACACGGATGGGGACACCGTGCAGGTACAGGTACTGTACTGATTCCGAGTCAAGCACTAGAGATAGTGGATTATTAATACTCCTTCGCCGGACGGTATATACAGACGTATAGTACAGGCAACGGGCAGACAGAATGCACAGATTAACTTAATACAAAAGCCCGGGGGGGGGGGCGGCAGACGAAGGTGCTGCTAGGTCTTCCCATAGCTTTTCGCTCCTGTGCGGGGCGGGGGCGGGGGGAGGTGCTTTCCAGAATGGCTGTGGCCCAGAGTAAAAAAAAAAGGGGGGGGGAGGGGGCACAGGGGAGGGTACTAGAAGGATCGACTCCAATGAATGCACGTTGAACCTCGGGGTTCTCACGGGCCTCGGGCACTGAGCGCTGGGCCTTGGTGGGGAGCTACGGGGTGTTGTGGGTTGACTTGGGGGGGCCCCCAGGAGGCCTGCTTTGCCCTTCCCAGCCCCCCTCCCCCCTCCCCCCAATAAAAAAGGGGGAGAAAGAAACAGCTGTGCTCAGCAACGAACATCCACAACAAGGCGACCCCAAGTGGTGGTGATGTGGCAACGTCAAGTCAAACCTCAAGACCCTTTTTGACAACATACAGCAGCACAGAAAAAAAAAAAAAAAAAATGCACCGATTTCTGCATGTCCGCCAGTGGCAGGGCACCCCTAGACACAGCTACCTTCACTCGGAGAAAACGCGCCTGCGCCCTGCGCTCAGAACCCGCCGCCCCCTCCCGTGGCGTCAGCAGCATTTCCGTAAACCGGGGCCAGGGACAGTCACGTGTTCAATAAATATCGGTAAGGGTTCCGGTTCGGGGGAGCTGTACACAGTCCCTCAGTTCATGGGTCTCGGGTCCCTAGGAAGTCATAGGTGACGGACGGCCGTCTCTCAGACGCCGCGGGCATCTTCGACGGCCAGGAGTGGTCATGGTTTCAATAAATAGTTCGGGCTTCTCGTAGCTCGGTACCCAGCGCGTGAAGGACGAAAAGCCACCCTCCCCCCGCCCTCCCAAGGCCCGGTGGCCAACGCTTCCCTAGACTTTGTCTTCATTGCTTATTTTTTTTCCCTTTTCTTTTCTTGTTAATTCCTCCTTTGTGATGCTCGGCGGTGGCTCGCGTCCCAGGCTGCGGGGCTGCCCCGCCGGCTCAGTCGATCCGCTCCACCTTGCCCAGGATCCGGCCCTCGTACATGGGCAGCACCGTCTCGTCGTCCCAGACCTCCTCGAACACCGCGCCGCACGCAAACTCGTCGCTGGCCTTTTTGAAGTAATACCTTAACAGGAAAAAACACAGAAACAAAAAAGCATCTCGGTAAGAGTGCATTTCCTGCTTGGAGAGAAGCGTGGGGCAATGCTGAGGCAGCGGGTGTGAGGGCAGACCTCGGCCCTTAGCTGGCCGAGGGGACCCGGGGCTCCCCGAGCCAAGGGCACAGGCGGGCGCAGGCTGCCCTGCCAGCAGCTCCGAGGCTGCGGGCCTCCACCCATCACTCCCCCTGCGGAGAGCGCACCTTGCCCAGCACAGCTGTCTGTCTCCTTTTTTATTGGGGGAGAGGGGGGTGCGGGGTAAGGAGGGGTAAAGGCACTGCAGCCGAGAGGGGTCCCTTAGAGACCCCAGCCCAGCCACCCGACGTGGCCACTTCCTCCTGATCTTTCCCTGGCCAGCACCTGGCTGCCAGCTCCACCGGCTGGTCTCTGGGGCAGCCACACACACCACCCCCCCCCCCCCCCCCCCCCCCCCGCCTCCAAGGTCAAACACGAAAGGCCCAAACATTATGCCCAATGATTAGAGGTTTCCTTTATCCCACCCCGGCCCTTTTCCTCCGAAGGCTGTTAATCGTACAGACTCAAAGGAGCAGTCTCTCCGGGCGCCCCCCCAGCCCCTTCCTTCCCCGTCCCCAGCGAGGGGCACCCCTCCATAGGATCCCACACACCTAGTCCCCTGGCTGGGGGCCTGTCTAAAAACCCAGTTGTGTCTCAGGGTTATGGCTGTATTTTGTTCTTGCTCTTTCTCTTAAAATCAGTTCCCCTTGGTGTGTGCTATGCTTTTTTTTTTTTCTTCTTTAATGAAGGCGAGCCAAATACTTTCCTGGGAGATAAGACTGAGTCAAGTCAGACAGCTGGGTTTAGTCAAGGCCCTTTGTTTGCAGCGTTCCCGGCCCAGCTGAAGTGCGGCCCGGGGCCCGCGGTGCGAGCACGGCCTGTGCGGGGCCGGGAGGAAGGGGGTGAGCGAGCGGGAGGGGCCCGGGCACAGGGCACTCTGGCGGGAAGGCTCCTTTTCCGGAGGGAGAGGCTCCAGTGCCGATGCCACCCTGCGGGGTCCCCCCCCGCCCCCCCGTTCCCCAGGCCGGCTCTCCCGGCAAACACGCCAGGACCTTTCGCACAATTGCACCCTCTTCCAGACGGGGAGAGGCCACGTTCCCTCCCCCCCGCCCCCCGCCCCCAAACGTGCTCGCGGCCCTGCCCTCCCGCAGCCGCGGGCTTTTCTAGGGCACCGCGCTCTAGGTGGCAAACGCCGCTTTCTTCTGACATCTGGCACCAATCGCGCCTGGCACGCCGCGAGGGGCCGCTCTCCTTCTGAGCCTCTGCCACGCGATTGCTCAACGCGGCCGCTCCCCGCTCCCCGCTCCCCGGGCCTTTTCCTGTGGGGGTGCGGGGGGGGGGGGCGAGGCATGGCACCCTGTGCCCCCACAGCCCCGGAGGAGGGGGAGCCTGCTCGGCCAGGAGGGCCAGCGGAGCGATAAGGAGGGGAGGGGCCTGGCCACAGGCTGATCCAGTCGGTCAGGAATGTGAGCGCGGCCCTGTGCGAGGCTGTGTGCATTAGAGGGGAGGCCGGCGGCTTCAAAGCCGGCTTATTAAGTGCGCCGGGGGGAGAGAGAGAAAGAGAGAAATCAGAGCCAGATGTGGCCGAGCGGCTGCGCCCAGCCTCCCTGCAGCCGCTCCGCTCGGCCCCTGTCCCCGAAGGTTACGGGCAGGTCCTCCGGGCCCGGCCGAGCCAAAGCCGAGATCCAAACGGGTCCCTGGAGGCGCCCCCGTGGGATGTTTCGCCTGGTGTCCCTCCCGATCAAAGGGCGGCGGCCGCCAGGCCCCCCGGACCCCCACTCAAGCCTCTGATGGGGTCAGCGGGTCACAGCCCAGGTGTGTCGTCGGGAAGGACTGAAGCCGCTCCGCACCCCGCTCCTCAGCCACCCGAACCCCACCCCTTCCTCCGACCCAGCCACCCCTCCGCCCCTGCCCCGCCCAGCGGCCGGTGGAGGTGGCTGCTCCTGGCGGCAGGAGGCAGCCGGTCAGTGATTCTCTCTTGTCATTGATATTTCTCCCCCCCCCCCTTCTTCCCTAAAATCAATAAAAATATTGAAGTCATGGGTGCTGGGGCCCTGGAGGCGGAGTCCCCGGGGCCCAGGAGCCCGTGCCCACCAGGCACCCTTGCCTGCCCCTCGTCCCAGGCCTCCGCACAGTCCCCGGGGAGGAAGGCCACGGGGGAGGGCAGGTGGGGCTGGATGGGTTAAGGTGCAGTAGCCACCTGTCGCCAGGTAAGGGAGCAGGGACAGGAAACGGGGCCTCCGCTCTAACCCGGCCTGGGTCCCCTGGAGGCCTGGGTGGGCATCTCCATGGTGCAGAGCGGGAAAGGAAGCCCAGAAGGTGGGCCAGCTCCCTTCCTAGGACCCCTGTCCACCCGGTGCCCACCCACAGGTCCTGCCTACCCCATCTGTTTTTTAAAATATGTTTTTATTGATTTTAGGGAAGAAGGGAGAGAAAGAGAAACGTCAATGACTACAGAATCATCGGTCGGCTGCCTCCTGCACGCCCCACGCTGGGGATCGAGCCTGTAACCCGAGCACGTGTCCTGACAGGAACCAAACCGTGACTTCCTGGTTCACAGGTGGGTGCCCAACCACGGACCCCCACGGGCCCGGCCTGGCCCCCCTCTGTTGTAACAGAACAGCACCCTGATTCATGCGACTCATAAGACGAAGGAAGACAGCTCTTGAGGAGAGTGAGGAAGAGGAACACTGCCTGCCCTTCCAGGCCACGGCCTCTGCCCTTCCCCAGGCCTGGTGTGTGGGCGTCTCTCTACACCCACGCCAGGACAGCAGTCTTCTGGTCCCCTAATGGGGCTGTGTGTCCGTTTCTCTCTATTCCCCCTTCCCCCCCCCACCTCTCTCCCTTCCAGGCGAGTCCCGTAAGGTGGTCCCAGCCCAGCTCTCCTCCTGCCACGGTCCTCCTCAGCATCCTGCTCACCTGGTGGGAAAGCCCTCCCCACTGCTGCTGCTGCTATTTCTGAGGGTGGTGAGGGAGCGAGGGAGCGAGAAGGTGGGAACAGCAGGCGGCAGCCCCCTCCACGGCCCCTCCCAGGGCTGGCCAGGTCGGCGCAGTCCCTCGGCTCTCGGCTCTGAGCAGAGAGAAGCCAGGGACTCTTCTTACCTATAGTTCCCCTTTTTGCTGAGCTGCTCTTTAAAGTGGCCCAGGGTCAGGCTCTGCGCCTTCAGCATCCTCCTGTACGGGATTTCTTCCCCACAGAAGAAGTACGTGAGGACCAGCTCGCTGGCCTGGAGCGCGAGGACCCCCGCCGGCTTCTTTGGCTCTTTGTGACTGAAAGGAAGATGCAACACAGCGAGCTCAGCCTCTGAAGGCAGCGAGCGAACACGCGACACGCAAACACACACACACATACACACGCACACACACACTCTCCAAACAGAGGTAAAGGGATCCCCATGTCAGAGGCTGGCAGCCTCTGGTGAGTGCAGTCCACCCCAGGTCACCGTGTGGGGCACAAGCAGGGACCAGTCCCTCTCGGTTGCACAAATTGCTCCTGTTTCTCTTCCTGCTTCAGCACCCATGGGGGCCTCCTATCACAGAGCCCCGAGGACACTCCTGCTCAGGACGCCCTGGAGACAAACTCCGTGCACCCCGCGGGATGGAAAGGCTGGAGCCCCCCCCCCCCCCCCCGTGTGTGTGTGTGTGTGTGGGGGGGTGAGCCCACAGTCATGCCGACCCCCCTCCATTTATCTGGGGTTTTTGTAGAGTGGCTTGAGAACAAAAACAAAAAAAACAAGCTCGGGCCGGAACCGCTGGTAGACGAAGGTCAACCAATGAACGCAAAAGGGCGCAGGGCGGCGGCTCGCTCGGGACTTCAAACCCGGCTCACTGCTCGTGAGGAGGCAGCTGAGAAAAAACCACTTTAATTATTTAGACCCGGTCAGCGCTCTCCAGTAGCTCTTTCCACACGCGCCACCCGGTCAGCCCTCTCCGTCCGCCCGCGTGGGGAGAGGGCACGCTGACAAAGGGACTCGCAGTGCCAGCAGGGGCGATGCTGTTTGCCCCGAGCAAAGCCACGGAGGCCGCCCTCCCTCCCCCCCCCCACCTGCCGCGGTGGCCGCCACCTTCCCGCTCCGTGTGGCCCAGAGCCTCCCGCGGGCTCACATCCGGGTTGGGGGACCTTCTGATGAGGCGTCAGGCCTCAGCCTCCGGTCAGCGTGTGGAGGAACCCTGGTGCCCACGTCCGCGTGCGTGGCTCAGTCCAGGCAGACGTCTCAGGATCCTAACGTACGGCAACAGCCGTGTTCCCTGCTCCTCGTCACTAACATGTTAACATCGGGGCGGTTACGTGGTAAAAAAAAAAAAAAAGGTTTTCGAAAATCGCCCAATGCCGATCGTCAACACCCCTGAAACGTAAACCGACCGCAGGGTGGTCTGGGCACAGACACTCACTCTTCTGCAGCCAGGCCTGGGGCGGAGAAAGGCGTGGCTCCCGTCTGGCCCGTGGCCACGTGGCTCCTGTCCCTCTGCTGGCTGGCCACGCAGCACCTGGGGACACACCGGGGCAGAGGGGTCAGAGGGAAGCCTGCGTCCCCAGGGCCGACGGGGAGCGGACAGAAAACGCCCGCCTGTGGCCTTGCGAACAGACACAGACCTGCCTCCCAGCCACGGAGACCCACCTGCAGCGGCTGTAGGTGGCCCGGAGGAGGCCTTGGGAACGGCCCTCCTGAGCCCTCGGAGGGAGGACCCGGGGCGGACCCTGCGAGCCAGGCAGAGGGCGGCGGGCCCCACAGTCCCCATGGGCTCGGTCACGGCTTCGCGTCTGCTCAGCGGACCAGGCTTACACGGTCCGGGCATCGGTAAGGAGTGGGGTTTGGAGGAATGACCGCACGACGTGCCTCCCAGATCCCGGCTAGCTCTCCGGGACGAATAAAACGAAAGGCAACCGTTTCTAGAAGCTGGAGGGGACAGTGTGACTCGGCCAGAAAAGGGCCCTTCCCTTAGCCCCAGGCCAGGTCCCTCCGTCCACGCCCTCCATCCCAGCGCCCACTCACCGCTGCTTCGGGGGCTTGGACACCTCGGCCAGCCGGCGGCAGGCCTCCTCCAGCTGCGCCAGCGTGTTGGGAGGCGTCAGGGGCGGCATGGCGGGGTCCTGGGCGAACAGGTGGGCGCGGGCGGCGGCTCGGGAGTGCCCGCCGCCGCCCCCGCCCCCCCACAGGTGGTGCCGGCCGGGGCGCTCGGCGGCGGGGGGCCCCCGGACGGGCTCCGCAGGGGACGCCTTCTTTGTGCTCTGGGCGCTGAGCGGGGAGGGAGGGCGGGCGGGGAGAGAAAGCAGGAGGAGAGAGAAACTGGGTCAGGAAAACTGGAAAATGTGACTTCAAGAGCAACTTCCCTATTCTGCCTTCAGAGAGGAGAAAAAAAATAACTGCCATAACACAGACGGGGGGCGTTGCCAAAAACATGGCATTTTTGCGGTCCGCTCCGGCCAGCGCTTAATATTAAGACGGCGGCGGCAGCGGGAGCAAACAGTCACATGTGTTTCCGGCCGCCGGCAAAAATAGCCGACCCCACGGCTCCTCCGGCAGCGGCCGCTCTGGGGGTGGCGCCGGGGGCGTGTTTACCTACGGGGCCCGGGCTTGCTCGGCCCCTCGGTCTCCAGCATCCACTGCCAGACATCCTGAGCCCTGTCTCCCCTGGGCAGGGCGCTGCCTCAGCTGCCGCTGTGGGGACCCGAGAACCACACCCCTAACCTCTCTGGGACGCCCTCCCCACCCCCCAAAGATGGGACGGTGAAGGGGGGGGGGGGTGAGATGCACCTGTTCCCCCTGCCTCCCCACCCTGTGCACCCTCCTCCCTTCCTGGAAGCAACATGCCCCTGACCTCTGACCTCTGACCTCACCCACCCCCGGGACAGCCGGCTCCCGGACACTCACCCGCAGTGCTCGGCGGGCCCGGGCTCCAGCGCCTTGGGGTGGCCCCTGCCCTTGGGGTAGCCGTAGTACTCGGGGCCCCCGGGGCAGAAGCAGCGCACCCTGTGGGCGGCCTCGGCCTCCATCTCCTCCTTGGTCTTGGGGACGGCGTGGTGGTGGATGTAGTGGTGGTGGACGTGCTTCGTGGTCTGCTTGGTCACGAAGCCCTTGGCCCCGAGGAGGAGGCAGCCGGCGGGCGAGGCGGCGGCGGCGGGGGGCAGCTTGGCCCCGGGGGGCAGCAGGGGGTGGTACGGCGGCTGGTGGTGGTGGTGGTGGTGGTGGTCGGGGGAGCGGGCGCGGGCGCGGGGACTGGAGCGGCCCACGCCGGGGGACTGGCAGCCGGGGGTCTTGAGGACCCGGGACAGGTGGTCGTCCAGGATGGTCTGCGGGTCCTCCTCGTAGCTGCCGGAGGGCAGGAGGGAGAGGGGGTGCTGGGGGGGGCGCCCCATCCCGCAGGCCCAGCACCAGCTCGGGACCCTCCTTCTCCTCGTCCTGGAAGGGGAGGCGGCAGAAGGGGGCGGTGAGCAGGGGGTGGGGGCCCTGGCACGCGTGGGGACCGGGCGGGCGGGCGGGCGGGCGGGGCCGGCACTACCTCGCGCATCTGCTGCAGCCGCTCCTCCAGGCTGTGCCGGCTCGCCAGCTCCAGCTGCAGCTTCTCCAGCCGGGAGATCAGCTCGGCCGCGAAGGCGGCGGGGTCCACGGGGGTCATCTCCTTGGGCAGGCGGTGGGTTCTCTGCGGGGCGCGGGGAGGAGAGCGGGCACGCTTAGCCGGCCGGCGGCCGTGCCGGATGGACGGACGGAGCTGGCCGGGCCGGCGGTGCGCGCGGCGGCTCCGTCCGGTGCAGGCAGCGTGGCCGGGCTGCCGGGGAGCTTTATGTGCCGGCGCCCGGCCTCATGGAGCGCCATGGGCCCCGCCGGCGCTGGCCGTGGGCAGGAGCAGTTGGTCGCACTCCGAGAGGCCCCGCTTGTTCTCTCTGTAGTACAACCAGCCCATCAGTAGCGACTCTGAAGTCGACAATCTTCAAAGACTGTTGTCAAACATCAAAAAAAGAGAGAGAGAGAGAGAGAGAGAGGCAGCCTCGGAGGTGGGGAGGGGAGAGACCGACTCAAGGAATAAAAAAAAAAAAAAAAGTGGAGTCTAAACAGAAAGGGAGTTGGAAATTAAAAAAAAGAAGAAGAAATGAGATTGGAAGGGAGGTGGGGGGCGGCCGGATCAGAAGCGGCGGTAATTTATTTCCCGGCCGCACACTGCGCACCTTTGAGGCGGTGTTGTCTCCGCGCTGTCCTAGATCTGCCGCCCCGCCCCCGCCCGCCCTGTGTGCGGGAAACGAAGAAGCTGCTGCGGGCTAGCAGCAGGACTCTGCTGAGCTTGGCTGCCTGAAGCCGCTCCATCAAGGGAAAGGGAACATCTCCAAATCAAGTGCGGAATATAAAAAGGCACCGAGATCGCCTGCCAAGAGCAGCAAACAGCGAGAACCCCCACTGCCGCCCAGCGCTCTCCCCCCGTCATCTCGCTCACCCTCCCTCCTCCCCGCCGTCCTGCCTCCTTCCTCATTTCCCTCTCGCTTTGCCCTTTTCTCTGGGGGGCGGCGGGGGCAGGCCGGCATCCCCCCGCTGATGACCCTACAGCCTCGCTGCAGACCCTCGGTAGGAGATGGTCCTTCTCACACAGGCCGGCTCCCTGAGGCTCCCCTCCCCATGAGGGGCCGCCACCTGGGGAACTTGGTCTGCACACCCCAAGACAAAATCCTCCAACCGACAAGCCTGGCTGTTCGGAGGTTTCTTTATCGATACACATATACCCCTGGCCTGTCAAAAAAAATGTTTATGTCATCAATACTGTTGTATTTGGGGGGTAGTGCCATTGAGGAGGGGGATGCTGGAGATCCCCAGAAAGCAAGCTTAATGTGCTAATTTTAGGACAAGGCTCCGTCCGCCCCGGACTGTGCAGGGTTCCAGAGAGAGCCGCTCCGGCTGCAATCCGTGCAGCGATGCAGCTCAGGAGCAGCAATTCCCAGTGTTCCTTTTCCAAATGCAGCATAACCTGTGGGCCCGAAGGACTCGTCAACACAGGTGCTGCTCTACGCTGGGCACGCCCCCCGCTCCGGCCCCAGGGGCAGCACCCTTGCAACCTGCATCTCAGAGCACCGCCAGAGGCACAGCCCTGAAATGTACAGGGGGCACCTACGGGCTGCCCTCCAGACATGGAAAGAGAAGGGAGGGCGCAGAGGGGTCCTTCCTGCCAGGCTGGCCTCTCATCGCAACCGCAGGAGGAAGCGGCTCTCGCGACCCTCGCTGCCAGCACTGCGCTCATGCAGCTCGCACTGGGTGCAGAGCCTAGGGCAGGAGCTGAGCCACGGCGGGGGGGTGGGGGGGGATGTGGGGGGGGGAGACACAGACCCGGTGCTATTGCTGCCCTCCGGGGCCTCGGGTCAGCAGGAGAAATGGCCACGTCAGTAGACACGTGGGTGATGGGAACGACTGAGCCGCGCAGTCCACACAAGAATGTCCCAGGGATGAAATTTCCCTCCCACAGGAAGCACATTCCTCGAGCCACTTCTTCCTCATTCATCCAATCAATCATCAATCAACAAGCGCCTCCTAGGCGCCAGGCACTGTTCGCTTCTGTGCACAGGGAGGCCACCAGAAGAGACAAAACTCCCTGCCCTCAGGACGCTCCCATCCCAGCGGGACCAAGGAGAAGCGTGGGTGACCTGCTGTCATGTCCTGGCTTCCCAGAGGAACTGCTTTGGTCTCTTTCTCACAGAGAACTGTCTTTTATGAACGGAGGAGATGGAAGGGTTCGGGAAGGTCACGTCAAGCTCCCCTCTGCTCAGCATCACGACCCAAGGAACCCCATGAGCACGCCTGCCTGGTCTCCCCTCCCACCCCGCTCCCAGCAGGCCCAGCACGGCCCCTCCCGCGGCCTCCATGGCCCTGCTCCGCCCACCCCCTGGCTCGGTGGCCGGACACCGTCACCGCCCCCTCTAGGCTATACTCACCGGGAAATGAGGTAGAGACACTTGGCCATTGGCCTTCACGCTGCGATGCATTTCTCTCTGGAGCTGTTTCTTACTGCCCACGCGGTAAGGAGGGATTCCATCTCTGAGGGGAAAGACAGAACCCGCAGGCTCACGAGATGCTCAGTCCACCAAGGACGGAGCCTCGCACCTCCCCAGTGCCCCCTGCCCCCCGGCCACGGCTGTCCCCGCGGGAGAGTCAATCCACCGTCCCAGGGCCAAGCCTCCTGCCCACCAACCCTCTCTGGAAGGCCTTCCTCGCGGGTGCAGGATCCCCAACTTGGAAAGAGGGTGGTAAGCTCATCGCCCAGGCTAGGCTGTTCTCTCCGAGTGAAGACGCCCCATTTTACAGGTGCCTGAAGCAGGGGATCCCAAGACCCTTTGGGTCCCCCAACAACCTGTTGCCACCACAGCACACTACCCTGAACCAGGAAACCAGCCTTGTGGCGCGTACCAGGGCAAAACCCAGCTGGCAGAGGGGCCAGACCACAGAGGGCCACGCCGGGCGTGAGTGAAGCTGTGCATTAAGTCTCCAACCTCAACCTCCTAGGTCATTGGTCGGCAAACTCATCGGTCCACAGAGCCAAGTATCAACAGCACAACGATGGAAATTTCTTTTGAGAGCGACATTTTTTAAACTTAAACTTCTTCCAACGCCACTTCTTCAAAATAGACTCGCCCAGGCCGTGATCTTTTTGTGGAAGAGCCACACTCAAGGGGCCAAAGAGCCGCATATGGCTCTTGAGCCACGGTTTGCTGACCACGGTACCTAAGGTGTTTCCATATCTCTTCCTGTACAAACCGCCAGCAGGGTGAGTTCGGGCTGTTTCCTTCCCTCCGCTCCCATCCCGGCCAACAAAGTCTCAGAGCCGTGACCCATGTGGGCACAGGGACAAGCGCCCACTCTGGCATTCTGTGCAGATCATTCCAGTTTGGGAGTACCTACCATGGGCCAAACCTTGTTCTAGGCACTGGGCATGTGAGCAGGGGAAAATGCAGGATGGCCTAGGAAGCTTTAGTGCCCAGGCAACAAGTAAAAATAAAAAAAGCAAAACCTACAGTGTGTCAGAGGTGGTAATTACGGTGAAACACAGGGCAGAAAATGGGGAGAGAGGACATTGTGAGGTGGGGCAGGCCAGCTGGTTCAAGGGGAAGTGTCTTGTGGATCGAATCCTGGCAAAGACCTGACTGAAGGCAGCGGGGGCCCCTTGGCCCCTCCTCACTGTATGTGAAAAGCACCAGTGGAGGAGGTGAGAGGCGCCAGCACTCGCTACCCCAGCTAGTCCTCCCCAGAAACACCGCCTGGAGCGGCCATGACTTTTTATTTTTTTAAATTTTATTTAGTTATTTTTTAAAAATATATTTTATTGATTTTTGTACAGAGAGAAAGGGAGAGAGATAGAAACATCGATGAGAGAGAGTCATCGATCAGCGGCCTCCTGGACACCCCCCACTGGGGATGTGCCCGCAACCAAGGTACATGCCCTTGACCGGAATCGAACCCGGGACCCTTCAGTCTGCAGGCCGACGCTCTATCCACTGAGCCACACTGGTTTTGGCGTGTCCGTGACTTTTTAGAAAAGAATTTCATTCTCGAGAGCAGCTGAATGGTCAGGGGGGTACGATCTTCCCATCAGGGCCCCTTCCGGAGGTGAGAGCCTCATGCTCACACCGCTCCCTCCTGAATCGTCCTTGCAGGCTGTTGATATTGAAAAGAGGTGTCTGGCTGTTCCCTCTCCCTGGTGTCTTATTCACGGGAGGGAGGTTGGTTCGGCAGCTGTGGGTGAAACCAGCAGTGCCTACAAGGACGCGGGAGCGAGCCGGGGGCTGACCTCTGGCCCCTTATCTATCAGCGAGGCCCTAGGATTCCAGCCGCTGCGTTTTCCGGAAGTCTGCTGACCGAGGCTGGACAGGGCCCGGCGGGTGATACGGGTCACAGCAGATCGGCGATCTGATAGCCGGACCTTGGCTGAGAAGCACCTGAGGGTGCAGGGCAGGAGATCGGGACTTAAGTACGGCCTTAAATACAGAGAGTCCTGTCCCAGAGGCTAGCCAAGGCCAAGGGCAGAGGCAGCGGGCGCCGTGGGAAGCGGCAGCCACGGGCAGAGCAGGGCAGGTCGCCCGGACAGTCTCCTGCTCATGAGGCCGGGGACTGGCCTTTCCAAGGCCGGAAGCTGAGAGGCCCACTTGGCGCTTATGGACTGAAACTCGACGTTTTCACCTTGGGATCGGAGGAGTCCGGGCTCTCCAGAGCATACCCGCGTGAGTAAGAAGCCAGGTGATGGGTTCCAACCCAAGGCTGCTGGCCCCCACACACCGAGTTCCTCCTGGGGGCCCGACGTTCACAACAGAACCCAACTCGGTCCTCACAAAACCCACGTCCACCACATGTGCGTGACCAGCGTCACGGTCAGCAGTGGGCAGTCCAGGGGTCACAGCCCAAGCCGCCGTTGCGGGCTCAGCACAGGGATCCCCACCACCTGGGCCTCCCGCGGCTGGGGAAGCAAAGCTCCTGACTGAACATGGGGGTGCATTTCCTAAGCCCCATGGGGTCCCCTAACAAGCTGGAGGGACCAGTGGGAGACCTGGTGAATGTTCTGGAAAGTCCTCTCCCACCACGTGATACTCACTGGCTAGAGGGCATGCCAGGTGAATCTCCTGGTCTCTAACCTAAATCTCTGTGGAGGAAGGGGAGTGGGGAGCAGTGGGTAGTGGCAGGCCCACAGATTGGGGTTCATGCTCGTCTAACCATCTCCTGCTGCCCCAGGGCTGCAAGGCGCGGGCCTCACCCCTCTCTTGGCCAGCAGCAGCCCTTCTGGGACTTAAGAGGGTGGATGTCTCTGCATTAGACCTCTTCCTGACAAACATGGGGGACCAGGAGACAAGCATCCCATGACCCCACTGTGACCTGCCCCCCCAAGACTCTGTCCTCTAGTAGTCTTTTCTCCTTCCCTCCCGGATGGAAATCAGTGGTTGGGCTCTTTGACCTCTGTCTTTTCCCACATGCGGGAGAAAGAAGAGAGAATTGGGGAGCATAAGCATGGGGACGAGAGGAAGCAGTTCACTGGCCCATCTGAAGGCCAGAGGAACAAATGCTCAAGTGATGGTTTTTTATATATATATATATATTTTTTGTTTGTTTGTTTTGTTTTGTTTTGTTTTGGTTTTTATATATATTTTATTGATTTTTTACAGAGAAAGGGAGAAGGATAGAGAGTTAGAAACACTGATGAGAGAGAAACATCCACCAGCTGCCTCTTGCACACCCCCTATAGGGGATGTGCTCGCAACCAATGTTGACTGGTATTGAACCCGGGACTTTTCAGTCGGCAGGCTGACGCTCTATCCACTGAGCCAAACCGGTTTGGCCAAATGATGGTTTTTAAGCACTGCCTCAACCAACCAACAAACTAACCAACATGCACACACGTGCGTGTGCACGCACACACATCAGCACCCCCATTCCTCCACCACCACCACCACCACCACCAGCACCCAACCCCCCAGGGCAGCTGATGGAGCCCCTCACTCCAGAAGGGGCCTCTCCCCTCTGTATTCGGGCCCTAAGGTCTGTGATCCACTCCCTGGCCGCTCAGAACTGCGGCCGAGGCCCACGCCGCCCCGCCCGGCCTTCCTTCATTACCGACGTGTGAGCTAACGAGCCGCGGCCGAAGGGCCAGCTGCTCCCGGGGCACCGGCTCCGAGTGCGGCCTCCACTTCGCTGCCATCAGAACCGAGCCAATTAGGCCGGCCTCCGGGCGCGGCGGTGGGGCCCGGCCTAACCTGGACGCCGTCCGCCGGGGACTTTGAAAGAGCGGCCCCTGTGCGCGGGCGTCCAGCTCGCCCGTTTGGCAGCCGCTTGGAGGCCTCTGATCACAGCCAACACCAAAGGCCCGGCTTTTAAGATAAGGTGATGTTTGAAGTTCACACGGAGGCTTTCACTGGTGTCCAACGTAAACCCATAAATAAGATACAGAGAGATAAACGTAAATAAGTCGCCCGCACCGCCCTCCGCGTGGGGCGCGGATTTGGGGACCCCCAGGCGGGCACAGCCTTCGGGCCAAGCCGCTCCCCGTGGCCCCTGCGATGCCTGCCCCCTGACCCGGGCACACCTGGGGGGCGGGGGCGGTGGAGGACCTGCTGTGCTGAGCTGGGCCTCTGCTTCCTCCTCTGAGGCCCAAGGCCCAAGAGTGCCGGCCCTCCCATGTCCCACAGGCCAAAGACGGGGGCTTAGGGCTTGGCTGGGAATCGGGCAGCTAACTTTCAAAAAGAAAAAAAGAAAGAGAAAAAAATGTAAAGCCATTTCTTCCGAGGATGAGGGTTTCGGAGTAAGAGGCTCATACACCGGCCTTCGCAGAGGCCTGAGGACCCGGTCCCGGCCACCGGAACCGGGGCGTTTTCCGTGGCGGGAAAACAGAAGCCAGCATGGTTCCTTTACCGCCCCTGCCAGGCCCCGCTGCCCAGGAACGGCCAGTGCAGCTGGCCCTGGCCCGCTCCCACCCGGCCCCCTGCGAAGGTCCCAGACCTCGTTGGTCCTGGCGCGAATGAGACGATGGCTCCCCGGGCTTGTGTCTAATGAACTCCAACCTTCTGGAGTCTATTGAAGGCCGCCCGTGACCCCCGCGACCCCTCCACCGTCGCACCCCCCCTCCCAGCTCCCAGCAGGGCAGCCGGCCCCCTCCCCGCCCGGCAGCCATTGTGCCCAGGAGCAGCAGCCCGCGCCTTTTCATGCTTTATGGGCGCTCCTATTCACGCGTTCAAGGGGATTTCAAAGGGCTGCTACCCTCTTATCCCCTCTAAGCTTCCCTGGACGAACAATGGGCTGAAAGCGATTCAGTTCGGCTTTTCATCCCCACACACTCTATTCCCCGCTCGGCACTCCCATCGGCACCAGGCCCACACTGGCAGAGCTCTGCGGAGGGGTCTGATCCCAGCCCTGGGAATCCGGGGCGACCCGCCCGACACGGGGCAGATCACACACACTCAGGGCATGCCACGTCCGCCGGGCAGGAGCGCAGGGAGGGCCTCCGGGACCCCCAGGGCAGCTTGACACCCACAGAAACGCCTGAGCCCAAACACGCGTCCCATCCGATGGGCTCTGGAGACCCCCCTGTCCCCCACTCCGGGCAGCACCAGGTGGAGCCCCTGGACAAAGGGTTCCCGAGAGAGGATGCCCTGCTCCCAGCTGGCCTAAGAAGGCCCCCGTGGGCCCAGCTGTCACGGCCCCATCTGGTTCCCGCCCACGTGGTTGGGAGGAAGCTCAGTGCCAGCCAGCGTTGGGCCCCCAGGTCTCCAACCCTCCCAGGGACCGGCTCTTGAGGTTGGCATCCTGGTTTGCTCACTCCCAAGCCCACCAGCTTCACCCCAGGCGGGATCCCCGAGGTTCTGCCAGTGGGGGCTCCAGAGAGAAAGCCAACACGTGAGGGCTCTGGCTCTGTGCGAAGTGGACCTCACTGGCCACACTCTACCCTCCTGCCCAGAACAGCTGGTTCGCCAAGGCCACCTGTCTGATCCCTCTCCCAGCTCCGGGCCCACAAATTTTTTTTTTTAAATATATTTTATTGATTTTTTTACTGAGAGGAAGAGAGAGAGATTGAGAGCCAGAAACATCGATGAGAGATAAACATAGATCAGCTGCCTCCTGCACATCCCCTACCAGGGATGTGCCCACAACCAAGATACATGCCCTTGACCGGAATCGAACCTGGGACCCTTCAGTCCGCAGACCGATGCTCTATCCACTGAGCCAAACCGGCTTAGGCAAGGCCCACAAATTCTTTAGCTAAAGGGGAGGAGGGAGATAGAGAGCCTTAAAGCCACCTCTGTAAAAGCGAGGAAGGTTTTCTTTTGGGAAGGGGATGAAAGAAGGGGGGTGATGGGGAAGGGTGCAGGGGAGAAGTTAGAACTCGCTCCCTCCTCCCCTCCCCCCCAACCCATTAAAAAAGAAGCAGTGTGGGTGATCGCTAATAAATAAAAATAAAAGAAACTCAAAGGCCTCATTATCCACTGGTCCTAACAACACAAATCTCACGTTGGCAATGTGGGTGTTGGGGACGGCGTGGGGGCAAAGGGCAGGGGCCGGTGTCTGGCCTGGAGCTGAGTCCGGTTCTGCCATGAGAGGCCATGGAAGCATGGGCCTCACTTCCATCTGTCAATCACAGGCCTGCCTACCTTCCCCATTGGGTCTTGTGAGGCTCAACCACGTATGGGGACCACGCCCAAGCCATCTCGTCATGAAGCCAGAACGACACAGGGATGGGGGTGGAAATGAAATGCAGGCAAGGACCAGAAAGTTCTCTAAGAAAACTAAACAGAAGCCTTCCGAAAACTGCCTTTGACTTTGGGAGAGTCACTCCATGCCCTCATTCAAATCCGACTTAACCTATTTCACACATAATGCTACCATCCCACGCCGCCCACGGTATAACAGCTGAAGGAGTAGTGCTACCAGCAGCAAGCGCACAACGGCAGCAAACTAACAAAAACCACAGTAGTCAGGGTGACGAGAATAAGAAAAACTAGTTTTGAAAATGGGAGGGGGTCCCGACCAGTGTGGCTCAGTGGCTGAGCATCGACCTATGATCTAGGAGGTCATGATTCAATTCCCAGTCAGGGCAGATGCCCAGGTTGCAGGCTCAATCCCCAGTTGGGGGGCATGCGGGAGGCAGCCAATCAATGATTCTCATCGATGTTTGGATCTCTCCCTCTCCCTTCCTTTCTGAAGTCAATAAAAATGTACATTAATAAATATATATATATATATATATATATATATATATATATATATATATGAGGGGGTTCAATACCACATGTAGGGGCAGAGAGCCTGATATAACCTTATAAATCTATGAGATAATACAACATAGAAAGAAAACAAATATTGATATTAATTATTTGGATCAAGAAATATATTATGCCTACCTAATACTATTCCTTAAAGTAGGGGTGTCGAACTCAATCAGAGAAGGGGCCAAAATCTAAAATCCAGCCTAAATCGCAGGCCGAATGGTTTACTGAACAGTCATAAACTGTCATTGTGATGGAAACGCAGCGGAGTGCAGTGATGACAGCGCGGTGCGGGCCACATTGCAAGGCCTGGCGGGACGGATTTGGCCCGAGGGCCTTGTGTTTGACACATGTGCCTTAAAGACAGAGTAGAGATGTATTAAGAACTACAGTATGTCCATCAAAGGGTAATTTTCCTCAACATGGGTACTTAAGGAGTTCGGCCCGGCTTACTTCTGTGGAACTAACTCCTCATTCCTCCACGTTGGAGGGAAAATGTGTACCCTTCCTTATTGTTTCTCAAGGCAAAACGGCTATTCTCTTATTAAAGCGGGATGCTTCACCCTAAGGATTTCTCCCTTCACCACCAGGGGAATCTGAGGTGACACTGTAAAAGCCACCAGGATTTTAATCAATAGTAGAGTCCCAAGCCAGCCTCATCAACTCTCCTTCTAACTAGCTCCATGCCAGAGACTAAGCAACAGGACCAATAAAAAGCGTATCATCTCAGACAAACCGGGAGAACAGGCAGCCCGGCTTTTAGGAGGCTGAAAGGAACAAGCTCTAAGTATGCCAGAACTCACACAGCTCTGTGGGTTTGCCTTTTCAAACTGTTCCCTCAGTGGGAGAAAGTCCCACTTCAAAAAACACGTGCAGGAAAGCCTTCCAAGAACGTTTCTAGAACAGTTCTCAACGGGGTGCGGGTGAAAAGCTCTGGAAGTGTTGCCCAAGGCCAGGCTCTCCCTCCAGTCTCCTGCCTCAGAATCCCAGGGGATGGCAGGAGGAGGGGAGACCCAGCCCACCACACACGCATGCATGCATGCACGCACGCACGCACACACGCACGCACAGACTATGAAATTCACACAGTATGTATGCTGTTCGCCATCCAGACATCACCAATGCATGACCACCAATGGCCTGAAGCTCACAGCATGACCCCGCCCGCTGCCCTGCTGCCCTCCGCGGGCCACCCGGATGACCTGGAGGCTTTCAGAAACCAAAGCCATCCACCTGCAGAAGAGCCACGGTCAGACTGGACTGTGGAAGGAACCCAAACTTGGGCTAGAACCCAGGCCTGACACAGAGCAGGCATTCCGCAGAGACTTACTCAGTTGAAGGATGCCCATGTGAGCACATTCATGAGGGAAACTGACACTTTTTGACATGCATTCTATGTGAATGTCATTGTGTGTGTGTGTGTGTGTGTGTGTGTGTGCGCGTGCGTGTGTGTGGTGGGCTGGGATTGCCATCTCCTTCCATGCCTTTTCCTTCAAACACAATGAACTAAACACAAACCCTTTTGATGCCACCCTCTCCCCGACCTGTTGGTCCTATGGAACCCGGCTTTGGAGGCCAACCCAGCACTTCTGCCCACGGGGAAGGCAGGCACACTGACAACCCAAAGATGTGCTGTGACACCCAAGGAACGTACAGATCTTCATCTTCACTGTCCACCTGACCTCAGTTTTCTTCTGTGAAGGTACCACCCACTCCACCTTCCCTTCGAGGCTCTCAGCTTACCACCACCCCACCTGCCGTGTCACCCTCCTCCACCACCCAACACATGTCCGCAGATGGGATCTGCAAAGCCAGGGGAGGACGGCCGAGGACTCTGGCCGGCGGGCCCTGCGAATCGCATGCCGACCACGTGCATGGCGGGGACACCGGAATACTTACACGCTACTGTCCGTCATGGACATGGAGTCGTCAGTCAGGGCGTCGCTGGATATCTCGCTGTCGTTGGCGCTGGTGGCTGGCGCGAAGACGTAGCCGGAACCTACGTGATACGGGTTGACGGGATCGCTCCTCTTGAAGGACCTGCGGGGACAGGACGACAGCACAGCGGTGCGTCACAGAGGCTCAGCGGGAACCCCGGTCGCCAGGTGGCCCCAGGACAGTGCACAATCCCACAATCCACTCCGCGGCCACCTGCTGCCCAGGGCCAGGCGCTCTCTGGGCAGAAGGCAGGGGCCTGTAAGACACGGATTGGCCCTGGGGAGAGAGCAGGCCGGGTCCCTCTGCCCCCGAAGGAGGGTCTGCCAGGGATGGAGGACCCCAGAGGCAGCCAGGGGACCCCACCAAGTTCTAGACACACAATCCCGTTGGGAAGTATCAGGACTCTGGTCTTGGAGGGGAGGCTGTGGAATAAAAGAGGGGAGTGAGTGCGTGGAGGCAGGGCGTCTTCCTCCTCCCTGTCCCCTACCAAAGCCAGCACCGGGGAACACAATGTCAGGGTCCTAAGGTGTCTTCCATTCCCTCAGGAGCTGTCAGCGTAGTTCTGAGACGCCAACACTTAGAGGCCTTCGCATTTCGACTTTGGGGCAGTGAGTGGACAGATGGCACAGGAAAGTTCAGGACCATGTTTAGGACTTGCACCCCATCCTCAGCTGGGCCTCTGTGTGGCCCTTCCCGCCCCCCACAGCACCCGTCTTCACTCTCCCAGGCTGGCTAAGGCCGGGGATTTAAAACGATGTTCCAAAGGAGGGTTCCGGCCCCTCCTCCGGTGTCCCCCCCTTCTGTTGCCGTGGCCTCTGCCGCCCCATGTCGCCCTCTTGATCTCCTCCCAGAACAACCAGCGTGCCTGCCTCCTGCTGGGCCGCACTCCTCTGTGTCACAGGCGAGGGCCTTACATGTGGGGGGAGAGCAGGAGGCAGGGCCACGTGGTCCTGGGGCTGCAGGAAGGGCCTGGGAAGCCTGAAGTCGCAGGGGGCTCCTTTACAAAGACGGGCAAACTCCACGGGGCCTCCCCAGTCTGTGCCAACGACGAAGAAACCAACTGGAGGGGAACGGAGGTCTCAGAGAAAAGGCCGGACCCCATCAGGCCACTGTGACTGGTCTTACAAAGATGGCCTCACTCGGGCTGGCAGAAGCAAGGGGCCCATGAAAGGCCAAAGCAGCCTTACGCTCCTGTGCACTGAGTCCCACTCACCCACCATGTGTCTGGCACCGCACTGGACTGTGGGTGTACCAGCCCCCGTCTCTGGCCGCCTGGTACCCAGGGCCTGGTAAGGGAGGTGTCACCATATGTGGGGAGAGAGTGGGCACCACGAGGGAGGTAGACCGTGTAACTTCAGGCCCGTGAAGAGGAGCACGCCTGTATCCTCATCATCTCATCTAATCCTCAGGGCCACCTGGGGGGAGGAGCTGCCCCGGGGCCCATGCTACAGGTGTGCCCGGGGTGGGCCCACAAGCACAGCAGCCTGGCCTGGACCAAGAGCTGGTACGAGAGGGCATGGGATTGATGTATTGGGCGCTCTCATTTGCTTCCTGATACAAAGACTAGCCTCAACGTTTAAGAAAGCTCCAGAACAAGAGGCAGTAAGTAGAGTGACCTGGTAGAGGCGATCCTGGGAGAGATAACGGGGATGTTTCCAGCTGGATGGTGTTGGAAACAAGGTGACCTCCCGGGGGGGGGGGGGGGGGGGGGAAGGACGGAACAGGAATTCGAGGAGATGCCACCGGGATGGGGGAAGGAAAAAGTAGTTAAAAAGCCCTCCCCAGCCCAGCTGGTGTGGCTCAGTGGCTGATCGTAGACCTATGAACCAGGAGGCCATGGTTTGATTCTCAGACAGGGCACATGCCCAGGTTTTGGGCTTGATCCCCAGTAGGGGGCGTGGAGAAGGCAGCCAATCGATGATTCTCTCTCATCATTGATGTTTCTCTCTCTCCCTCTCCCTTCCCCTCTCTGAAACATTCCTGCCCAGACTGGGGAGGAAGGGGGCGGAGCTAGTTGGGTTAGGAAGGGGCAGGGAGAGGAGGGGGCCTGAGCTTTTCCCAGCAGCATGAGTGACTGAGAGAGGGTGCACCAGTTGGACTGGAAGGAGGGGTAGGGGCGGACAGGGAGTTGCTGCCACAATTCGGTATGAGAGCTGGAATGGGGCAGGTGCCAGACATACCAAATGGGACAGAAGAGGAGGAGGAGGATGGTCCCAGCCTTTAAGGGGCTTGCAGTAGGCGTGACAGCACGAACAAGGTAAGTCACATTCAGAGTCATAACATTTTAGAGTCAGAATGAACCTTAGACATTATCTAAACCAACCCCCCTCGTTTAGAAATGTTGATAAAAACCAAGAGCTGCGATTGGTTGAGTACTAAGTATGGGTGGGGTCTTTGTTCTTGTCATTGATGTTGATGAAGCATCTGCTGCCCAATCATCTTTCATCCTCACAAACATCCAGGAAATAATGAAAACCGGGGGGGAGGGGGGGTGTGCAAAGCCTTCTGGGAGGCCAACAGGCTGAGGACGGGGCCATGTGGAACCCAAAGCTGGACTCCCTGAGAAGCCTGGCTGGCAGGCACCTTGGTTCATTCTACTGAACCAGACGGGAACTTACAGCCAGACCTCAGAGGTGTTATGGAGACGCAGCATCAGCTGGGAAGTGCAAAGGGGGAACACTGCAACGGAACCTGTCAAATGCCTTGGGTGCCTGGCCCTGTTCTCATATCCACGAAGGGCGGGAAATCTTACCACCTCCCAGGATTTTTTATGACAATCAAATGAGGAAGGTAAGATCTCTGCCTTAGAGCTGGTCCCCATGTCCTTCACCTGGGATTCCCAGGCACCAGGACTAGAGAGAGAGGAGCAGTGACAGGGGGAGGGGAAAGGCAACCGGTTTCTATGGAGAAGAGGAGGAAATGGGGTGAGACTCAGTGAAAACACTCTCCTCGTTGACAAGGGAGCTAAAGGAGAAGAAACCGGTCCTGTTTGGCATCAAAGGCAAAACAAGAGGAAACGGGCTCCTGGGCTTCCTAAGCCAGAGAGAGGGGCACGTGCTGCATGGTTAGGGTCCAGGTGGACCCAGGGAGCGGACGGGGCAGGTTACGGAATTGTCCGCGTCTTTAAAGTCGCCCCGAGGGCCCCACTCTCCGGGGTGCTTGGATGGGACCGCTGCTCAGAGCATGACGGACAGGATAACATCTCCAGGGCCCCTTCTCGTCTTCAGGAACACGGTCACGAGTGAGCCTCGGAAGCCCTCCATGGGAAACGGAAACCCAGAGGCTGGGAGCTGGGGCCAGCTCAGCGCCCGCCCAGCTGGGTGACACAGGCAAGCCCCAGCCCCGGGGCCGTGGGCTGTCCCCCTCAGACACAGCCGGCGGCATCGCGGGCTCAGGCCCTCCGAGAGGCCCTGGAGGACACTGTACTCTGGGGGGAGTCGGTTCAATGCCCCCAAAACCAAGAGCCAGCACACACAGAGCTCTTTCCCCGCTTTTCCCTCACGATGTACATCACCGACACAGCGCTGACGTGCCACCCTGAAGGCATGTTCTGAGCAGCCAACCGGACTGGAAGCTCCATGAGGGCCGGGCACGACCTGACTTCCTCACGTGGGTCTGTCTGTCTCCCCAGCGCTGAGCGTCAGCGTGTGACACGGGGCAGGGGCACAAAACCTTGTTAAACCTCCTTAAAATGTCTGGGACCATCAGATGGGCTGCTTTGAAGTCGTTGTTTTTTTTTAGTCCAAACGCAAAGGACAAGATCAAAACAGCCTTAAATAGCATCCAAACGCCCCTTCCACCACTTCAGTGTTGCTATCTTTGAGGCGGTGTTAACATACCAACAAGGTCCCAAATGTAAGGGCTGTAATTCCACTTCTACAGGGAGAAAGTGACTCAGCGGGCATGCCTCCCCCTCCCGCCCCAAACAAGACAGGCACCTAACCCAGACCCCACGTGTGCTCCCGCGCTGCCCTCCTCGCACACACGGATCCCAAAATAAACGCGTCTCCCTTGGCTCCCAAAACAGAGGGCTCCTGTGTGGCCAGTCGTTAAACCCCGAATACGCCACGCTCAGCTCAGGGGACTGCAATACAGTGTTTGGACTTTCCCGCAATCCTAACACGATGAGAGAGGAAGGAGGCAGGGTTTATGGGGGGGAGACAAACTCCGTTTTTAAGAAGCCCGAACTTTGTCAAAAAGCACCACATAATTAAAAAATATGGACTGAAGCGGTTTCTTGGGATCACTTTCACACACACACACACACACACACACACACACACGTACACACACACACGTGCACACACACACAACGGAAAGAAACCCAGCCATGCTACGGTAATTGTACCCAGATGCTTTGATTATTTCTTCAGGACTGTTGTGCTCCCAGTTGCTGGCAGGGTTTTGAATTCCTAGGGCAAGCGGAGGCCTAGGGTACACATTCTGCAGGAGGCGGACCAAGTGTGCGACTTCCATGTGCAGAGGGCTCTGGGCTGTCAGGCGGCCGAGGATCCTGGGGTCTTATTTGCCTGGGAACCTCCTGCTGCTCTGCCTGTCCTTATCTCTTATCTGGATGAGAGGCTGCAGGCCCAAGCCCCGCCCCAAACACCAGGCATACCCCTCCAGAGAGCACAGCAGGGCTGACCTGCGGGGCCTGCTTCTGCACCCCACCCCCCAAAAAAAACACACAAAAAGCAATGCAACTTTTAAAGACATCATTTGCTTCTAAGGCCGTGTGTTTAGAAGCCCTATGACAATTTACTCCCAAAGTCACTGTCCAAAGGGCAATACTGTCTCTGGGAAGCATTGGGCATGATCAGGGGCATTGGGGGGGGGGGGGGGAATGGGAGAATGTGGGGCACTTGGGCCCCAAAACATGGCAACGTTTTCTGGGGTGTCTCAGCAAGCTGCCCGCCCAGCGCCCCCACCCTCGCCGTGGCCTGCTGCTTCCAGCCTATCTTTCCTCTGGCATCACTTTCTGTGATAGCGGAAGCCAAGCCCGGTTCCAATGGCTTCGCACAGACACGGGCCTCACCGGCGAGTTCTTTCAGGGAACAGGAGGCCCTCGGAGCCAGCAGAGGGCCATCTGCTGGACCGGCCTTATTCCAAGCGAGGCCAGCGCAGAGGGTCTGAGAGAGACAGATGAGACCCGCCTTGGGCAGGGACACCCGTGGGCCAGCGCAGAGAGAGAGGGAGAGAGGGAGGGAGGGAGGGAGGGAGGGAGGGAGGGAGGGAGGGAGGGACAGGGGGTGGCTCTGTGCACCCCGCACTGCCGCCTCCTTCCTAAAATAAACGCTGGGCCCGGCTCTGACCCCACAGCCCCCTGCGCACACACCTCGCCCCTCGGGGTGTGTTTACGGGCCGGCCTTTTCCTCGTGCTTCTCCCCTCAGGTCGCTCTTGCTCTGGGTTATTTATAGAGACCATCCAAAGCCCAGGCCTCCCACGCAACCCCTGGCAAACCAGAGTCCTTCCCTCTGAGGATAATTCCTGCTCTTCCGCTCCAACTATTTATATTAAACCCGACACCAAATCAGTAAGGGCACAAACAAGTCCTTAAAAGCGAGGCTCCTCTGAGCGCCCAGGGTAAACACAGGGCCTGGAAGACCAGCCGGGGCGCTGGGCACCCGGCTGCCAGGACCGGGCCTCCCCGGCCGATGGAGGCAAAGCCTCAGCAGGACTCGTTTATTTACGTTTCATTCATCTCCCTCACTCCATAAAAGCCCGTCCCGTGGGCCAGGCACCGTGTTGATGAGTGAGTGAGTGAGTGAGTGAGTGAATTAGGAGGGAGACTTAAGAAACTAGCTGGAATCCCTACACCCCAAGATCCCGCTGCGAAGAACAGACTTCGGTTCAGCAAGCAGAGAAAGCTGCGGCGCGACCTGGGACGCTCCAACACATTCCAATGACCATGGGCTAGAGCCCAGGAGTCACTCTTTGAAAGTGGTATCTTCACCCGACTGCCCTCTGCTCGTACCCAGTGGTTAACACTATTAAATCACACTAATTATAACACTTAATACGGACCTCTGTTCAAAACATCCTACTGGCGACCTGTGGCATAAACAAAAAGGATGGCGCCCACTCCTTGGATGGGGTCCAGAAAGGCTTAAACCCAGGTGGTTAGATCATGGTAGACAGAGCCAGGAGCCAGTCTTTTAAATACTTTGGGACGCCCCCAAATACACAGGAACACCTTGCATGTTAACACGAAATTTGGCTATGGCTTAGAATTCTCTTTGGCAATGCCCCCCCCCGCCTAAGATATCTGGGCTTCACGAAGTCCTGGTACGATATTTCATTTCAACCCAGCCGCGGAGAGAAGGACAGTATGGAAAGTCAAGAGGCCAAGGGAAAGGTGCCACTCTGCGGAGGCGATGCCTACGGCCCGGAGCCAGGGGAGAAACTGGAAACACAAAGGATCAAAACGTTTCACAAGAGTCCTCTCCCCAAAGTCCAATCCTGGTCCGTCCCAGCGAAGGCCCGTGGGAGGAGGAGGGGCCCCCGCATGGCTGGGTCCACGGCCCACCCACGAAGGGGAGGGGTCACGGCAGGGTCCTGCCTCCCAGTGCTTTCTCACGGATGACATCCCAAACCACACACAGTGCTATTCACCAAGGTGACACGCGGGGTCCTGACACAGAAGACCCCCTGCGAGAGGCCCCCGGGGAAGCAGCCGCCTCACCACAGGCCGTAAGGAGTCTCAGCGACCACTGCCACCCTGGAGAGCAAGGAGAGCAGAAGAGGTTTCACGCAATGTCCCCTTCATTACATGGGGCAGCAGCAGCAGCAGGTGTGGGAGCTGCAGTGAAGTACAGACTCCCCAGGCTCAGAGAGCTCCCATCCTTCTTTCTCATTTCAGGTCTGTATCCTTTCAGGCCTGCCCAGCCTGGAGGCCAGGACCAGTATCTTCCTTCAAAACCACCCGGAACCGTAAGTTTATTGATGCTGAAGCCACATCAGGTGATCCCATGCTTCTTTGCAAAAGCCCATCGGTTCCACTTAGGACGAGACCAGATGTCTGTGAATGTCTCCTAAGAGCGCCCCCTGGTGGTTGGAGAACAAGCCCGTCGCTCCCTGCGAAGCCAACTGTCTTGGCCGCCCCCCTAAATCGGGGCTCCGAGGTTCAGACCTAGCTGCTCTGCCCCTGCTGCTGGTGCTGCTGGTGGTGATCGGAGGCCCTCCCCTGAAGAGCCAGGGCACTCTCCACAGAGTCTTGAACACACGGAGAAATACACCATGGCTAGCAAGGCAAGTCTTTCAGATGGCAATCAAGCTCCCACCCCACCTCCCCTTGCATGCCACAGGCAACAACCTTAGAAACAAGAGGCTCCATCTCGTTTTGAATCTTCGGGAGGAGGGAGAGGGAGAGAAGCAGAGAAACTCATGCTCACAGGAGGTCTGAAGTTGGAAGGTCAAGAATCTTAAGACTTGGCCATTCCGTGAAGGACGGAAGCCTCAAAAGGGGAAAATTCTCCAGGGCCCCGGTCTCTGCTGGCCAAGACCTCTGCTCCATCAACACTGAGCAACAACGCAGCCAGCTGAGGTCTGCCCCCAGGTGCACGCACTGAAAAGCTGCCTGCACACCCAGCAGGCTCCAGAGGGAAGGGGCCTTCTCCCTTGGGGAGGCCACAGGGCCTTCCCCAGTGAGGAGAGTTTCTTGCTTGGTCAAGACCTGACTCTACAAAGAGACCCAACTGCTGGCTCTTATCTTCACATCCAAGTTCAAAAGATCCCACTTACCCCACATCCAGTGGGTACACACATTACTTCCTGCGTCTCCACCACAACCCAGCTGCCTCCCTGGCCACATTAATTCCACTCTCTGCTGATTGGTGGGGGGTGGTCCCTTCCGAAACCGGTGCTTACTGTATTCGGTGACTCAGCGGCATCTAAAGCTGCTGTCCGCCCCCCCCCCCCCCTCCTCTTTCTCCTCTCAGCCAGTCCCCCTCTCTAAGACTGGCAACAGGAAACTAAGTACTGCTCACCAGTGTTTGAATTAGCACTGGCAGGCTGCAGGCATTTAGGTGTGTGTGTGCATCAACCCCCCTCTCCACCCACCCCCACCCCAAACAACAAAAAGCAAGATCAAAGCATTCATGGCCAGTGATCCCGGCTCTCAACGGACCTTTGTCAGCCTCAGCAGCACATCCATCCAACCGTCCACCCTACGTAACTCAAAACATCTGCCACACAAACCCATACCATATCCGCCCATGCCCCAGCCCTCCGCCCCCGCCACCCCCTGCCAGTCTTACCTGTATCCATTCTCGACGGTCTCCGTGGACCGCACGCCAGCGGTGGCCCTCAGGGTCTTGCTGGACAAGCCAACCACCGTGGGCGAAAGTTTGCACTTGAAGTCGGCGCAAGTCCACTCCTCCTCCTCATTCAAGGTGGGGAGATAGCCGCACACGACCTTGAGGCTCCCCAGGCCCCCGTGGCCCATGTACGCCGTGGTCTCTCCCCCGCTCCGCACGTATTCGAGGTATATATCCGAAGTCAGGAACATCTGGTAGGCATTTTCCTCCATCACCGCCTGGATCTCGGTCTGCGCCTGGTCGAACATGATGGAGTCAATCTGCTGCTTCTTGATGCCATCTCTGATGTAAGTCTTGGTGGCGGGCCTCAGCTGCTTGGCCACGACGCTGTTGTTCTCGACATACCGCTTGTAGATGGCCTTGGCGACGCGCAGCGTTTTGGAATCCTTCAGGTCCATCTGCCTGAAGCCGTTGCAGGCGAACCAGAAGTCCAGGGCGTCCACGCATTTCTCCCGCTCCAGGAAGGTCCGGAAGAGGTAGGCGCCGTCCTGGTCGCCCAGCAAGCAGTGCAAGGACTTGGTCCAGCGGGTCAGCGGGGAGTCCGGGGACGCCCGCCCCTCCGGCTCCCCCAGCCCGTCCTCGTTGCGCCGGGCGGTGGGGGAGACGGGCATGGGCTTGGCGGCCGGGCCCTTCCCCGCGGCCAGCGGGCAGGGCGGGGCGTCCCCTTCCTCCCCCGGCACCGGGGGCCGGGGCGCATCCTCTCGGAAGCTGCTGCTGGGGTCGGGCAGGCGAGGCACCAGCACGGCACTGCTCATGGCGAGCCAGTCCTTCTCGCTGAGTTTGGGAGTTTTTTTTTTTTTCTTTTTCTTTTTTCTCTTTTCCTTCTTCTTCCAGTTCCTCCCAGCGATCAGCGTGGTCTCTCTTTCTCTCTCCGAGTCAGCAGGGGCTCATCGGAGCCTCCTTTCTGGAAAGAAAAGGAAGGGGGGAGGTGGGGAGAGAGAAAAAAGGGGTATTGATCTAATCAAAACCAGATCTGCCCAACATCAAAGCAAGAAAGTAAACAGGCTTTTCAACTCCTCGAATTCAAATCAAGCAGCCCAGCTATCAGCGAGGTGCTCATCTAAGGTATCAGGCGCTTTTTCAAAGGCGAAATCTGAGCTCCCGGCACACTTGGGGCGGGGAGGGGGGGAGTTGGGGGGGGGGTGATGGGGAAGGGGCGGGGAAGGTAAAATGGGAGCCGGGAGGGTGGGTGGCGGGGGGCGAGGAGGGGGCATGGAGGTGTGAGACATAACCTTCCCAAACACCCCCTGGCTGCGGGCTCAGGGCAGCCTCCCCGCTCCGCTCCCGCCCCGGCCCCGGCTCCAGCATCCACTCCAAACACGCACCCCGCGCCCGCCGCGGGGCTGGGCGCAGGTGAAACCAATTTCGGTGAATTTCCCCCCTCGGCTGGCTCTCCGCACAGATAGCTCGAGCTCCAAACGTGCCCTTCCCCGGCATCTGGTTCCCATTCCCCCACCCACCCCTTCCCTCCGCGCCCCCCTTCCCGCTCCTTAAACATTCAGATCCTCGGCCCGAGAGGAGCCCGCCCAGCCAGGGGCGGACTGGGCTCCGGGCTCCCCGCTGGACGCCGCCCCCTCCCGGCTGGAGTGTCCCCGCGCCCCCGCCTCAGCCCTCCCCGCGCCCCCAAACCAGAAACCCCCTCACTCAGACCTGACTTTGATCTCCAAACTTTGAGAAAGAAGAGAAGCCTGGGGGGGGGGGGGACCCACCACCCCGCCTCCCCCGCCGCCTCCCGGGGCCGCGAGCCCCACAAAACCGGATCAGAAGCCGTCTCACGCCACCCCCGTCCTCGCCAGGAACCCCAAACTCTGCTGACCTCGATCGAGCCTGCCTCATTTCCCCAAAGAAAAGTCCTGTCTAGCCCGCACACAAGCCGCTCTCCCCGGCCCCGAAGGGACCACACTAAGGCGGGCGGGGGGCTGGGGCGCGCCCCCGTCCCCCCGGCCCCGGGTGGGCGCGGGGCTGGGCAGCGGGGCCGGCGGCGGGGCTGCGGGAGCGCGGCGCTACCCCGGGGAGGGAGGCGGAGCGGCCCCGTTACCTGGAAGACGAAGACGGCCCGAGGCCGGGCTCTCATCTCCGCCGACCCCCCCCCCCCTCCGGCCGTCCCCCGGCCCGAGTCCAACAGAGCGCGCCCAGAGCCGCGGGGCGCGGGGCCGGAGCCCCCCGGGAGGCGCTCGCAAACGCCCCGCTCCCGGCGCGGGTCGGTCCCGGCGCCGCTGCTCTCTCTCTGGAAAAAGCACGGGGAGCGGAGCCCGGTCCAGCAATGGCGACGCGCGGAGTCCGCGTCTCCCCGCAGAGCGCAGGGGCCCGGGCGGCCGGGGCGCGGGGCCCGGCGGGAGCAGAGGCGCGGGGGACGCGGCGCCCGGGCTCGGGCCGCTCCGGCTCGCAGACTGAGCCTCGCTCGGCCGGCGCTCTGGGCCCCAAGCGCGGAGCAGGGGCTGGAAGGGGAGGGAACGGGAGGGGAGGGGAGGGGGAGAGAGGCGGGAGGAGAGGAGGGGCGCGGGGGGGGGGGGAAGGGGGCGGAGGGGAGGGCCACTGGGGGGGCGCCGCCACCCTTTCATCCCACCTTCCAAAGCTCCGCACACTCCCAGCCCCACTCACATCCCAGAACCACGGCAACGATGCGCTCCCCGGGGGAGGGGGGCATCTGCACCCCCTCTCATCTCCGCGCCACCGCAGCCGCCACTTGCAGAAGTCTCTCCCCTGAGCCCCCCCCCCCAGCCCTCTGGGGAGGGGGCTCACCCTCAGGGCGCTCGGGGCAGGCGGGCCAAGCCCCCAGGAGCGCTGGGCGCCGAGCCCGAAGCTCTCCTCCGCGGCCGCCCGGAGAGCGCCCCGAAATAGCCGGCCTGCCAACTTCAAAGGCCGCCCGCCCGCCCGCCCGGCACATCAAAGCGCGGCGCCCGCCCGCCGCCCGGCCCCGCACTCACCAGAGGGCCCCGCGCGCGCTCCGCCGCCGGACCTCGCCAGCGCCCCGGGCAGGGCCCCGGCCCCGGCCCCCGGATCGGCTCGCGGCTGCCCCGGGCCCCCCCGGGCCGGTCCTGGCGTCGGGGAACATGGGGAGTCACGCGGCAGGGGCGGGAGGGGGGGTGCGGGGAAACAATCCGGGATCAGAGCGAGATCCACCGGCGAGGGAGGGAGGGGAGGCGGCGTGCACCCCGCCGCCCCTTTTATGCAAAAGAGCCGAGCGGGCCTCCGCCCCCGCCGCGGCCGCCCCCGGCCCCTCCGGCCCCCGCCCGGCCCGGCGCTCCGCACGGGTCCTGTTTCCAGCAGCCACTCCGCGCACCCAATGTCCTCCGGGCGCTTCCAACAAAAACTGCGCCGCGGATTTCACAGCGCACTTCAAAGGCGCGGGCCGGGCGCATGGTCCTGGAAGGGAGGTACGCGCCCGCCGCGCCCCGGGCCCCTCCGGGGTCCCCGCCGCCGCTCCCGGGGGCCGCCCGGCCCGCACCGCCCCTCCGGCCCCGTCTCCGGCCGGCCGGACCCCCTCCCGCCCCGGACGCCCGAGCGGAGCCCCGGCGCGCCCTGGCCCCCGGCCCCGGGAGGGGCTTCCTTTGAAGTCGCTTTGCCGGGGCCGCGCCCCCACCTCTACCTTTTACAGCGGGGCTGCGGGCCGGGGAGACGGGCGCCCCAGCCGCCGGGCAGCCGCGGAGTCCATGGCTGCGAGGGGCTGTTTTTATGGCCGAGCTTTTCGGTTGTTACCGAGTTGCCAGGACCTTATCAAAGCGCAGCGGGCTGCAGCCGCCTCCCCCGGGCCCGGCTCGGGAGCCAGTGATCCCGCCGCGCCAATCGCAGCCGCGCTCGGCGGCCCGCGCCGCCCGCCTTAAAGGGACAGCGCCCGGCGCCCGCCCGGACCGGGCCGGGCCCGCCCCTGCCGCCTGCTCCGCGCCCCGCGGTAACCCGTTCTCCGCCCTCCTCCGCCCCCTGCCAGGCCCCGCCGCCCCAGGGGTGCTCTCAGCCCGAGTTCTGAGTTTGCCTTTCAAGTTTTCTGGCCTCAGCTCCGGCTCCCCCCCTCCCGAACCCTCTCCCTCCTCATCCCTCCCCATTCCTCCCCATCCCTCTTGCCTGCCCTCGCCCTCCCCAGCTGTGGAAAGCAACAGTTTATTGTAGCATTCTGGCCAACACAAGAACTGCAAGCAAGCAGATTTTTTTTTCTATCATCAAACACTTTTGCATTTCTATTCAAGTTTTCCTGGGAATGTGGGTTTTATCTTGTAAAGGAATTTCTAGACCGGCCAAAGACCTACGGGCCAAGTGTCACAGGGCGAACGCGGGCCTGCACGTAGAAGGCATGTGCATGCTGTACTCGTGTGTGTGTGTGTGTGTCTGCGTGTGAGTGAGAGCCACGGTGCCTGTGTTCGTGGCTGTGTGGATGGGGGTGCAAATCAGCCCGCACAGGCCGGAGTGCTGAAGATGGGAGCTGACACCTTGTTCGGAAGCATGCCTCAATTCCCTGAACCTTTAACCCAGCTTCCCAGCCTGGCCACCTCAGCCCGCCTGGCCGCACTGCACACATCACCCTCTTTCTGTGACAACTGCACACCCAACCCTTCCTTGTGCGCATCCCCCATCAACCCATATGTTACACATTAAACAGACACGGAATGTCTCTTTCCCTTCCACCCGCCGCAGTTCTGAAGTATTAAAAACGCCTCACCCCACGGTCACCTTTGAATTCCTGCCCACATTCCCCCGATGTTTATGAGGCAAACCTCCTCTTCCCACTGAAGGTAATGAGAAGATACGTCACAAACCTAGAACATGATTCATCCACTCATCTATTGTAGCAGAGTGACCCCGCACATGACAAGCTAATAATTAACTTCTCCTGCTCTTCAACAACAAAGGTGTAACCCAATCTGCTGGAGAAATGAAAGGAAGAGCCCAGCACCACCGGGAGCTGTGGGAGGCTCTGGCTCCCGGACTCCACTCACTTTTTCTTTATTTACTTTCTTGTTGAACTTAAAGGATGACAAATGCTTTTCTTTTTTTCTTTTTTGTAAAATATATTTTTATTGATTTTTTTACAGAGAGAAGGGAGAGGGATAGAGAGTTAGAAACGTTAATTAGCTGCCTCCTGCACACCCCCTACTGGGGATGTGCCCGCAACCAAGGTACATGCCCTTGCCCAGAATTGAACCTGGGACCTTTCAGTCCGCAGGCCGACGCTCAATCCATTGAGCCAAACCGGTTTCGGCTGACAAATGCTTTTCAGTGCAGAGGTGCCTTGGGCCTGTCATTAGGCCTTCGGGACTGAAGCACTGCAAGAAGGATAGGACGAGAGAAGATACACCACCCATGCGCCGCTGGAAAGGGGCAAGCTGCTGTGCCCCTCTCCCCTGCCCCGAACAGCTCCCCCCACCCCCTACCCATGGGGCTGTGACAAGGGACTAGAGTTCTTGCTCAGCTGCTGGGTGCCAAGGTGGTGGCATCTCTCTCTGGCACCTGCCGCTAAGTGTGTCCAGAGCCTGCCCCTGGCTGGCAGACACCCAGCAGTCAGGCCAGGAAACACAACCACCTCAGGGTGCTCGGGGAAGACCAGCCGAGTGCGGGCGATGACTCATCTCTGCCTTGGGGCACTGCTGGGTGTGAGGAAACTGGAGGTCAGTCCACTTCAGGCCACTGGATCTAACAGCCTGGCCTTCCGGAAGGCTGGTATGCGGGGCCTCTGGCGAGGGCGCACACCTACCCCCTCCAGCGACCCGGGAGAGCCAGAAGTCGAGCTGTCCCCGTGGTTCCAGCCAGTCTTCAGGCCTCGGAGGATGTTATTACAGGGGGAAAAAGTATACACGGAAGGGGATGAATGGCCATAGAAGCGTCTATAATATAAACAGCAGCAGCGTGTGTGTGTGTGTGTGTGTGTGTGTGTGTGTGTGTGAGAGAGACATGGGGGGAGGGGAGATCAAAAATCAAATCATCCAAAATCAAAATAAATCATGATCAGAAAAGAGGAGGCTTTAAAAAAGGAAGTGGAAATTTGGTCTTCATGGGTGGTTTTCCTCCCCTCCCAGCTGTCCCCACTGACCCTTCTCGGCCCCCCAGCCAGCCCCGATCACCACAGGCGCTGCCCCCTCATTATCCTGGGGCTGCGGCCGGGGATTCGGGAGCAGGGACCAGTTTGGATTAGACCTTCTCCCTAATGACCCCCCTGAGAGCCTGGTCTCCAGAACAGGTGCTTCGTAACCTGGGGTCAGTGACTCCCCCTCTATTTCACCCCCCCCCCCCTTTCATATCTGGGGGTACGTGGCCTGTCCGGCAGGAGGCTGGGCCAAGCGCTGGGAAGAAGCCCTCTGGAGCCTCCGGGTTTTTGACAACTTGTTGATAATATTTCTGGAGGAGAACCCAGAGTCCTCTGCTTACACCCAGCCCCTTTCTCAAGATAGCACAGTTTTCCATTTTCCCTTCTCCCTGGCAGCAGAGGTATCATGTGACGTGTTGTAATCCTGCACGGTTGCCTGGAAACAGGAAAGCAAGGTGATGGATTTCTGCACATGCTCACTCTCCCCGCTCCTTTAAAGAAAAACCCTGCGGAGGGTTTTTCTCCCCACTTTGCCTAAGTGCAAACAAGTTGTATAAAGCAGAGGGTAATTCTTTCCTGAAATCCATGTAGCCGGCTGAAACCCTAGAATCCCCGAAAAAAAACGAGGATTCGGTGCTCCCTGAGAGGCACTTGGCCAGGTGGCCCACCTTGCATCCGCCCCACAAATACCCCCGTGGAGGGGAAGTCACACCAGCTGCCACCTCAGAGGAGCTCAGACCCGGGACCTTGCTCTCTAAGACGCGGGGACTTTTATTTCATTTCTTTGGAAAAGGGCCACCTTAGACAAGGCACCTTTGTTTAGAGAGGGAGATGGAGAGAGATGCGGGTACCCTTTCCTAAGACTGCAGGTCACCTCGCCATTCTGCCACCCCCTGTGTCATCTCTAGGGTGGAAGGATCAGCCTATGAAGGCTGCTGGGAGGATAACCAGCCGGGCGAATGCCCAGCGTGACGTGACGTGACGTGACGTGATCCACAGGAGGTGCTCACACACGGCAGTACTGCTGTGCAGTCACGCGGGACCCTCACTGGCCTAGCACCTGCTTTGGGAAGGAACTCCCCAACTCCAAAGCAGAGATGCTCTCCCAACAGGAGCCAGGGTCCCGGGGGTGGGGGTGGGGGCGGGGCCTGGTACTGACCAATGAGGTCTCGCAGAGGTGAGCCCCCCCCCCCCCCAATCCTCCCTGAGGAGAGAATCAGGGGCTGTCATCCATCACACCCCATCCTATCCTGTACCTAAGAAGAAATACCAGAATTTTCTTTTTTTTTTTTTAATATATTTTATTGATTTTTCACAGAGAGGAAGAGAGAGGGATAGAGAGTTAGAAACGTCGATGAGAAAGAATCATCGACCAGCCGCCTCTTGCACACCCCCTACTGGGGATGAA